ACAATTGAGGAAGATATAAAGCATTAAACATAAATTATTATAGTGTCCGAATATTAAAGTGAGTAACTGTATATATTATATATTATGATTACCGACTGTCGAATTTGATAACATACATAACTTTGAGAAGATAATTCGCTTCTAACTCTTGTAAGACGAGATAGAAACGCTAAGTTCGATTTCAAAAATACTATATATTTTCTATAAGCCGATTCCATGGACGAAGTAGTGTCCTCGGGAGAAGAATGTCTTTCAAAGGTCTGTAGTAGAATGCCCTCTAATGATCTCTAGACGAATGCCCTCTTCCCGTTCCGCGCGGTTTCCTAGTCCCGCGAAACTTGAGGCCCCAGGGTTGTTTTATGGCCGGGACGTCACAGCATCAGGCCTCTACCCCGTGGTGGTCGTCGTAGGACGGTTTATCCCTGGTGCCCGTTATCTCTGGTTTATTGGGATGGGTCACTAGGAATTTTCTAACACTCTTTTACTTGAAACAACAAACTATACGTCACAGCCAAAACACTGGTGAAGACGCCAAATTGTCTTGCGTTGAAAGCGAATTAAAACGCGTGTCACGGGGGAGGAGTGCGGTGAAAAGCGAGTACAAGTGGCTGAGAAATAGAATCGATGCCTAATTCTCATTAATCGATTCAGAACGATTTTTAAATGTTTTTCTTTTAATAAGTAAATAATATTTGTGTATGGAACTAAAAAGCCGCAGCTTCACATCCAAAGAGCGCATGTGGCTCGCGAGCCGTAGGTTGTTGACCCCTGACCTAGTACGACGTTGTATATTATTGATTTAGAACGTTGCTTAATTTCAATATATCTGAATAAATTTTGCTTTTTAACTACTTGTACAAAAATAATATTTAATTTACGCTTTGATGATTATCAGATTAAATAACTTAATAGATATTTTTCGTGTTTCTTAATGTTTAAGTGTATAAAATTGGGGAAAGTCAAGTAGGTGATTGGCGTTTTTAACCGACTTCGAAAAAGGAGGAGGTTACTCAATTCGATCAGTATTTTTTTTTTTTTTTT